TTTCATTTCACGCTCTTATACATGGTGTTTCGTAATATGTGAGACACACTTCAAGAGGTGATAGGGCGTCTCAAGGAAAACAAGTTCCCATAAACTAGAGTCGTAAACACGTCGTTTGCGAGATACAGGGGATTCAAGTTGAAGATAAAAAATAATTTCCATTGAATTTTTCGATAACCGCTGAACAAAAACTCTTGATATTCTCGTGCATAACTCAGTACGTGAGAGTTATGAGATGTGTGGCATTATTTAGTCAATCTGACTCCCAGTGGCACCGTTAACGGGTATTGATGTGTGATTGTATCGGAAAAAACATTGGTGACGATGAAATTTTTCTCAATTCCAATCGAAAATATGGAAGAGGATGATGCAATGTTGTGGAAAAAAGCATCAAGTGATGAAACTCGTGAAGATACACTGTTTTCGGGAAAAACAGAATAACCAAATTCAACTTCAAATTTGATGTAGTTATCCAAAGATATCAGATATTGTATTCAAGACATCTGTTCACATCACTCTATAGCTCTTGCCATCACGATAAGCCATACAGGGTGGACATAAAAAAATTCCATAAATATTTTCATCTGCATCGCAAACGAAGCCTTCTATACGGTTATCGTTCATGAGAAATGTATTTTCTAGAGACGCCGTATCACGCCGAGGTGCGTCCCACATATTACGAAAACCCCCTGTATGACCTACACAAGACTGGAGCACCTTCATGAAATTTATTGTTTTCATCCGATTTCTTTATTCTTATTTCAGCAGTTCAACGTTTACAGACATTTGCGCAATATGGTACTTCCAATTTTCAACTAGGTTGAGCACAAAATTTTATCGGAAAATTTCGATTGGCAACAAAGTTATGACAACAATTATGTTGCTAACTCACCATTTTTCATGAATATTCCGAACAAATTCTGAGAACCGGTAACATTGTCAATACAAATGTTGGGATTCATTGAGGTTTCTGGTAGTCATTCAAATTATTATCACAAATCATTATCGAATTATATTTTTCACAATATAATCTAACTTGGTATTCATGAATATATTCAAGAGATAAAAAGAGAAGTAAAACCCGAAGGACTCAAAAATATTGTTGAAAATATTAGAAGGAGATATAAAATATGTATCCGATTGAAATTCGAAATGTATAAGATTAGGGCTTGATAATTATTGACCGATATTATTCAACTATGTAATTATTGGATTTACTTGTAAAATGGCTAAAATTTGGTAATAATGGAATCGAAACAAACTCATTATTTGATATAAAAATTCTTGGTTGATTATAAATGTGACAAGCCGTATTCTCGAAGTTATGCCTTTTTTATTTCATGAATATTTTCATGATTACCAAGATAAAGTCCATTTCAGGAGTAATAACTCGATAATAATTCGTGATGTTGATTCAAATGACTACCAGGAACCTCAATGATTTTCAACATTCGTGTTGACAATGTTGCCGCTTCTCAGGATTTGTCATATTCATAAAAAATGGAGAGTTACCAAGATTGAAGTAGTTATAACTTTGTTGTCCATTAGAAGTTCCCAATGAAATTTTGCACTAAATTCAATTGAGGGATGCTGAAGACCGTGGTGAGGTGGATTTTTGGCTTCAAAAATATCGCTAATGACATTCCGTATTTTTAACACGGAAGAAATAGTATAGGTATGCCCTGAGAATTGGAATTATATTTTATAAATTTCTTTGAACGAATATATTCGGATATTGTTTCTGCTGGAACGAAAAGGAAAAACATTGGGAAAAACAATTCAATTTGATCGAAATGATGTCTCGATTGCAGTTAGAGAAATATTGAATGATTATTCATGTCCAGTCATGGATTATGTGCGGGTCGAATAAATCCTTGGTTTATGGAATTCACAATATTCTCATATTTTGCACATGTTCGCGGCTGCAGTTTTCCATTGACGTTTCGCTCATTCAACTGGAAATAGACAAAAAGATAAATGAGGCAGAGCGAATCACTCGAAATGTGTTGAATCCAGATTGAATCTCTCACTGCACATCACCTTGTTGTACAATTCGAATTTGAATTTGAATAGAACTTGTTTTGCATGTGTTTATTTCATCTTTGTTTTTATTATCGGAATCAATACTTTGTGACTGTTACTACGAGCAGACAGTTATCCGGAGGTGATTATACTTTCCTCATTATGAGAAGAATATAAGATTGATTTTCTCTTAGGACAATGACTAATATAAATAGTTATTTGCAGCCTGATACAAAAGGACAAAAATTGAACCGAAACAAATACTACACGACTCTGGAGTATATAGGCTCAGCAAAATAAGCTCATACCTCCAAAGTTATTTGCATACGGGGACAAGATGTGGTTCAGATCTACCTCGATATAATTTTTTTGTTTCGTCTTGGGAGTCATTTTAGGAAAAATCTAGGTCAAGTCGAGGAATTCCCTGTTCACCATTATCGATGAAAAATACCGAGGTTTCAAAGAGACCTACCTACAATTTTTTTTCACAATATTTCAGAGGACTCAAATTCGAATTTCTCTGGTGGAACCAAATTTAGGAGTCAAATGCATGAGCACCTTATTCACAATGAGATATTAACAGCCCTGACATTAGGATTTTGATTTATTGACGTCAATATATCCGAAAGAAAATCGCGAATCACGTAACGTTGCTTATTATTCCTTTTCACGCAAGTGCATAAGATATACTCAATTAAACTTCCTGTTTTATTTTCGACAATCAAGTTCGTTCGGCACTGACAGCGGTAATAAAAATTTTTGGTCGCAAAAAGATGTTCATGAATTCAATCAACAAATTCTCCAAATGTAAATGATCAAACACTTCCACTTAGACTTCAGACTTTAGGGCCAGGTTGCCATGCAGACAGAGTGTCAATATTCTAATCCACATTCGCTTGCAGGTCGACTGCAGAAATTTTTCTGATGGCCCAAGAAAGCGTTAAAAGATGAGGCTCCCCGTCATTCCTTGCTCGTACAAGACTCTCGGAGACATCTGAGGATTGCTCGTAAGGGGGCAACCGAATGACGGATGGAATAATTTTATTTCAGAACTCAAAATCAACATTGAAGATTTATGAATAAGAAATTTGCTGATGAATTTTGGAATTTTATTTATCGAGTTGGTATTTATAACTTACTGAGAATACATCTTCGGTTCTTGTGAAAGATAATCCTTGTAGTTCTTCAAATGCTCCGAAGGGTAGGAGGAAGATCTAGTCCTAAGAGCAATCTAGTGGCAAAAGTGCGAAGGTGTATAGTATAAGTAGGTTGTTTAATCAACCATACCTTGCGAGTACACGTCGAATATAAACCCCTACGTTCATATTATTACAGAAAGGCAAAAATGCCACAATTCTGCAGAATATCGCAAAACCGGAATTCTCACAGTGTTGTTTTTTCGCCCACCAACAGATGGTGGGAAACCTCAAATCTAAGAGATTTCAGGAGAAATGTCGTGAATTGTTTGTTAGCTGGTGCAAGACAGTCTGTTTCAGCTTTGCCAAGCATCCTCAGTTGCACTAGCCCAGCTGACAATCGACTCGTAGTACTATACAGGTTGTATCTGAATAACACTAAAAAAATTAAGGTCATGTAAACGTATGTCCTAACTTGCTCCGTTTTCGAAATACATGATGTTGAAGTTGGAAGTATTAATTGTTTCTATTTATAACTCCCCTGTATGAGCTCCCATGGTGCCAAAATTTTGTATGGATGGAGACTGTGAGGAAGCCACAGATTTCCAAATTGATTCTTATTGGGGTTATTGAGTTTCCTCAATGGAAGTGTTGAAAACACCTACATTAAAATTTTGAGTCAAATCGAATTTTTATTGTTTCCTCAAAAACTGAGCTAGATAGAAAAAATACACAGAAAATGAAAAAGTTATTTCCATAGATCAATCTAATCAAAATATAGAACCGGTGGTGTACAATGACATTCACCATGAATATCGATTAATTTACCCTCTGTGACGCCACTGGAGATATCATTTCGCTTCTAATTGCACTAGAAGAAGCTCCATATGACTCTTAACAAAACCACAGAGTTTTAATGACGTTGATGGGAAGATAATTGTATCTCAAAAACGTAGCGAGTGAGGACACATGTTTATGTAAACTTTATCTCCTGGAATATCACTAGGAATCACCTCGAATTTCAACGGTATCATTTAAATACACCCTGTATATACGAAGTAAATCCTATGCCCCGAAGGGTAGGAGGACGATCTAGTTCTAAGAGCCATCTAGTGGCAACAGTGCAGAGGTGTATGAGTAGATTGTTCAAACAATCATACCTTGCGAAAACGTCGAATATAGACAGACCCCTTCGTCCATATTATTACAGAGAGTTGAAAATGGCACAATTCTGCAGACTATCGCAACACTGGACTTCTCACAGTAATTTTTTTTGCAATTTGAACCCATGAGAGTAGTCTAGTTGATGACCACAATGACACCTCAAAAATGAATGCGCATTTTGATAACCTATTAGGTAAAAAGACGGGCAATCGTGCAATCGTACGTGAAGAAAGTACTTCACAGCCGTTAGGCCGTTACCCATAACAACAGCCGCCTAACCATGACAGACTTGCGAATTTAACATTCCTAAGCTACGACAAAGGTTATTCAGTCAGATCACGGTCAAAATATTTTGTATTTATTCAAGATGTCATTTCAATTATTTTGTTAAATAATTCTGATTGTACGAAAAAAAAGTGTATACCTTATTAGCTGCGATACTCTTTGGCGACCTCAAGATTATCTTGCCTCGGAGAAAGCTTACCTTTTGATACGCCAAAAAGTTATTTCACGGCCTAGGAATACGAATAAATATTTCCGAAATCGATCTCGAAGATTTATAGGTTGTTAACCACGTCATGAAAATTTTCCGCGGTGTGAGGTTTCAAGAAAATCAAACCTTAATGTCGTTTCTTCGTGATTTTCATGAATTAAATTAATGAATATGTTTTTTTGCAGGTCAAGTTTGGGTACAACTTATCAATTTTGTGTGTCTTCGATGTGATGCTTCTGTATTATTTCCACAATACCACATTTTTTTGGATGTTTGTCGAGGGTAGGTATCAAAACGTTAGAATTAGATATTTTCTATTTCCCAATGTTCATGATTTGTTTGGAATGATAATATATTATGTGAAATCTAACAGAACATACAGATACAGAATACAGATATTGACAACATTAATTTATTCAATGTAATCGAAGGCATATGTACAGTGTGTCCAGTTTTCGATGCTTTTGCATGATATCTCAGTTATCTTTGGAGATAGAACCTTGCGGTTTTCGCGGTCCTGTGCCACTTTTTCGTGAAACTCAAGATGGCCTAATCAGATTTTGCAGGACTGTTTCCGTTTATGAGATACAGGGCGATTTTGAAAATTTATACTTTTTGGACCCCCTCTATATCTACGAAGTTTATCAGCGGAAATGTCAAATTAAAATCTTAACCCATAGAGAATTTTATGGAGAATTCAGTGGCGCACAAAAATTTTTTTTTCGGGGGTGGTTTTGAAAATACGACTCAAACTTATGATTTTTTAAATTGAACACCCTGTATTTTATAGGCTCATTAAATTCCTTATTTTTTTCCCTTCGAAATGATATATGATGTATGAATATAACATCTTCAAAAAAGTAAAAAAATCACTAAAACATTGACTTTTAATAGTGGGCTATGTGTTTTTCGAGGGATTTTCATAATAAAGAAATTTACAATTCAAGGAATATTTCCTTTGATTGTTCCATGGAGGGGAGAATAACAATTTCAACACTAATAAACTTGCAATACACAAGACTCAGATACCTGATATCCACAAATATATAGTAATAAAAAGTTTATAATGTAGAATGAGCACCTGATTGAATATTTACTAAAACAATTGAATTTCGAAATTATTCAGTGATTTATTCATTGAATTGTTCAAATTGATGTCCATTTTCCATCACAAACTTTCTCAATACATACTAAACATTGAAAGATGTCTTTGTAATTCCTGGAAAACTGCCTCTGTTGTTGCACAAAGTTCTTCAAGTATGTTGGGCCACTCACTGTATTAAGAAGTATTAAGAAAGTTTGTCAACTGTATGTTAGGGAAAATGGATATCAATTTGAACATGTCAATGAATAAGTTACTGAATAATTCCGGAATTCAATTATTTTAGTAAATATTTAATCAGGTGCTTATTCTACATTATGAACTTTTTATTACTATTTATTTGTTGCTATCAGGTACCCAAGTTCAGTGTTTTGTGAATTAATAAGTGTTGATATTGGTTTTGACCTCTCCATGGAAAAATTTAAAGAAATATTTCTTCAATTGGAACGTTTTTCATTAGAAAAATTCATAACCAACTATCAAAATTCAATATTTTAGTGATTTTGAGCAATTTTGAGAATTTTATATTCATTCGTTATATATCATTTTGAAGACAAAAAATAAGGAATTCAATGAGATTATGAAATACAGGGTGTTCCATTTCAAAAATCATAAGTTTGAGTCGTATCTCCAAAACCATACCCCGAAAAAAAAATTCAAGTGCGCCACTGGATTATGCGTGAAATTCTCTATGCGATAAGATTTTGATTTGACATTTTTGTTGAGAAACTTCGTGGATATAGAGGGGGTCCAAAAAGTATAAATTTTCAAAATCGCCCTGTATCTCATAAACGGAAACAGTCTTGCAAAATCTGATTAGGCCATCTTGAGTTTCACAAAAAAAAGGCACAGGACCGCGAAAACCGCAAGGTTCTATCTCCAAAAATAACTGAGATATCAGGCAAAAGCATCGAAAACTGGACACTCTGTACACTTCTCTTCAGTGAACTTGTGGCGGTTGGACGGTATGAGCGGTGCAGCGGTGATTAAGAGGGCTGACACCGTCCATGTGCGACATGTTCTCTGAAGACGACTGTACATGCTATGCATGAGATAAAAACAATTCTGATGACCAGAATACCTATAGTTCTAACATAATCAAGTAGGTACCTAAAGAAAACATTGATCAGTTCTATATTTTTTCCTCATTCATTCAGTTACTGAGTGCAACCACAACATATAGACGAAATAAATCATTAGCATTCCTATATTCCTGAATTAAGTTAAGTATAATGTGATGACAATTCAAATTTAAGGTCTCTACCTTTATATACTCGTTGTGAGGACCCTGACTAGAGAAAACTTCAAGCTGAGGGTCTACGTATGCATAGGATGGGGTAAGTCACACGAAGATAGTTTGGTAGAAATAGGCTGTTCAAAATAGAGGTGATGGATAGAATATAATTATGATGGAACTACTCCCATTTTGACGTGATCAAAAAATTTCTTGATACTATGCGTTGCCTATATTCAGTTCGACTCATGTTCAATTTCCAAAACGGATTGTTTTAGTTGCTGAAAGTCATGAAGCCACAACGTTTCGTTTCCGATTTGTAAACAATTCTGACGAAATATTAGATGAAGAGTGAACCCACCATATATTATTCAATTCATCTCCGTCAAAACAACTTGGAGTTTGAATTGTTCATTCTTCTTAGGACTGCCTTTGATCTTCCTGATCATCTGGGGAGTGGTGAAAAGCTTCGTCCCGGTCGGTAGCGAATCAGGAAGTTCAGTGAGTATTTCTTCCACAACAAACACACCACGTTCCCGTAGTTTGACCTTTGGTCTATTGTTGAAACCAGTTTTTCTTACAGTGTCGATGGTTCTCCTACCATGACATCGATTGGATCTTCCAGGTCCCCACGCTCGTAGTCCTCCTACTCAACTTCATCTTCCTCATCAGCATCATGTGGGTGTTGATTACCAAACTGAGGTCGGCTAACACTTTGGAAACACAACAGTACCACAAGGCTGCCAAGGCTCTACTTGTACTTATGCCCCTCTTGGGGATACAGTATGTCATCATGGTTTATGCGCCCAAATACAAGAAGTCTTCAATCGATGTTTTCGAATTAGCAAGAGCTATTCTCATATCTACGCAGGTGAGAGAACTGGTAGTTTATCACTTTACACAGGTGTCAGGTCCCCTTTTTTGTTTTTTTTTTTTTTTTCTTTTTTTTTTTTTCTTTCTTTTATCGCTTGGAGCGCACGAAAGGGAATCCCCATAATGTTCGTTTTTGCATTCATTTTAGTGTTGAAAGTCCTCATTAGTGCGGAATAAGGTGGACTTTTCCGCACGCTAGTAGAAAAGTATTATTTCGATATCGATATCCAGATTCTAAACTGTGAAAAACAAGTTCAGATGATGATGAATGAATATTCAGTTAATCATTCCATTTCGATTCGTCTGAATAGTACTCCATGTATATCAAGAACAAATAACTTGCGGACATTATGGAAACTGTTCTTCTCAATTTGACGTCAGCAATATATTATGATGCTCCCTGATTTAGGTACTACAGGTATTCGAGGAATTCCCTGTATACGCAATACACAGGGTGATTCAAAATTTGATGTGAATGGTTTGAGGGCATCTTGTTGGAATCCAAATGAGACTTTTCTCGAATTGATCATTCTAGAACACGTGATTTTGACATGGTTTCTTGAGGGGCACACAAACTATCTGTTAGAGGTTACCTTTGATGAGCATAGCCCTGGTCATCCCTGCCACATCTACATCATAATAACAGTTTAACCAAACACAATTATGGAATTCTATCTGGTTCCAACTCGGATTCCAAGGAAAAAGATCCCACTTATTCTGATTTTATATGACATATCTTGACAAAATACAATGTTTGCCCCTCAGCAACCTGTCAAATGACGTAATTCTGTAATGATTTATAAAAACATGTATCCTGAAATGCACCCACCACTCCGAGCTGAATTGCCCTGATTTAGGAATCGCAGCCCACTGAATTTGTTATCTTGACATTGTGAAAATACCCTCTTCAGCTGATAACGATTTTCTGCTTAGTTTATACAGGGTGATCCACGGTGGATGGTCTATTAGAAGTATCTATGGAGAACGAAAATTGAGATGCTTTGATGATTGAACAATCTCTATCCGTCTAGAATATTTTCATCGATACAGTGTTGCCACTTCTATCAGAAACAACTAGCAACTTTGTTTATTCAAATAAAACACCCTGTATTTCCTTGCACTTTTAGATCCTTCCTGAAGAGCTGAATTCATCAATGTATCACACTTGATGGGGGTCTAGCAGGAATGATTACAGAGATACTGGGTGTTCAAAATTGAGATTTCTCAATTTTAGGATTTTTTTGTGTCGAAACGGCTTACATGTCCCTATCTTGACTTGTGATTCACTATCTACTGGAATTTAATTGGAAAATATTACACGGTCCTTCATCAGAATTCAGAATTCTGATCACCCTGTATCTGTTCCGATTGAATGTCAGTAGATAGTGAATCTAAAGTTGAAATAGGGACATGCAAGTCGTTTTGATCGATAATGAATAGTTTCGACGCGAAAAAAATCCTAAAATTTGAAAATCTCGCGATTTTGAACACCCTGTTTCTCTGTAATCATTCCTGTTAGACCCCAAGTGTGATGCATTGATGAAATCAGCTCTTCAAAAAAGAATAGAATAGAATACAGGGTGCTTTATTTAAAATAACGAAGTTGCTAAATGTTTCTATAATAGAAGTGCCAACACTGTATCGATAAAAATATTTTGGACGGATAAAGAATATTCAATTATCGAAGCACCTCAATTTTCAGAATGTTCTGTCTTTTCATTCTCCAGATACTTCTAATAGGCCATCCACCGTGAATCACCGTGTATAGTATCGAAAAAATGCAAGATACAATATCCATAGACTATATGCTTTTCGATTTGATAGTTGATCTATTCAATCTTGAAATGTTGACACAAACAAGTGTGGATCCCCCTCCAACTTCTCCGAAAGTGGTTTCACATATTTTTGGGAGCAAAAAGGTATTCAGTACCTAAGAACACAGAAGCATTTCAATTTCCAGAAGATTTGACCCATTATAGTCAGAATATCAGATTAACTTTTTTACGTAAATTACCTAGTGGCTGTAGCTCGTGCGTAGGTGCATTTTTAAGGACGCATGTTTATTGAAAAAAGAGTCTCATCCTGATTTCAGCAATACGTCGAATAAAATTTACAAATCATTCTCTAACTCCTGGTTGAAGTCTGTATATTATACTATTGATGTTGTTGCTGTTGATAATTCAAATTAGAATATTGTTGATTGAACTAGTCCAGCATGAGAAGATAATAATAGATCTTTTCCTCTACAAACACGCAAACACAGTACGTACATGTTACCAGGGCTATGTTGCTATTCAAATGCTTCTTCAATTCCATATCCAAGAACTTACGGAAATCACTTCCAAACAATTTTGTTCACATTATTACAATATTATCAATATTTGCATTGCGATATCTAATTAGCTTTTATTTATCTTCAGGAAGTTCACAAATGATTAGTTGATTGAGGAATATCAGCAAGTCGAATATTTTTTGAGCAGTATATCTGTCCATAGTCGAGAGATGAAAATAACTTTCCGAAGTATGTTTGATGAGAAATTCTACTAGAGTTTGTTTTTGCATTCTCAAATGAGGTTGGCTGAATCAAATTAGATTTCAAATTGAGATGATATTCAACCTATTTTCCTCGAGAATGAACGCGGAATGAGAAACATTAACCAGTAATTGAAGTTGTTAGAATGAAGTTATCTTCTTGATGTCATCAGGATTCTCGTTAGTATATGCCCCCGAAGATCAGAATTATTATAAGATTGCTTCTCGTATACTCAGCAATGATATTCACATCATCAACATGGAATATGATATAGATGACTACGTAAATATGAAACATGGTATACCGCACGTATCTCAAGGGATATTTAGCAGCCTTTTACACTGAATATGGAATCAAATTTATTCAAATTAAATGAATAAAACGTTAGATATGGCAAACTATGCAGGAGGAAAAGGACCAAACATAAAGTAGAAATGGGACTTAAAAATGTGAATTCCAGAATCTTCATTCAATTTTGAAGTTGATAGTTAATAGGTTCTACACCTATTAAAAGACGTAGCCTCGTCTTTACTTTACTACGTTACGAAAACATCGAAAAAATGTCACAACAATTTCACTAAGGCATCAAACAAGCGTCAACATATATCTCATGTTTTTTTCAACGCTTTCTGACTTTTCGAGCGTGTGTGGCATTTGTATCGTTTTCGTATCGTGTTTTTCAGTTATTTGACGCTTTTCGATGTTTCGAGCATAAATGACGTTCACGTGACATTTTCATGACGTTTGCAGGCTCGAAAATTCTGCATAGGGGAAATAAGTGTCGATAGAGCCTGTGCTCTATTGCAGTTCCTACTAACATGTCATGAAAAGGATTTTCCTGTCTGAGATATACGAAACTTGTAACAGTGTTCTAGGATAATCAACAAAATCATTCGGAGTTTCCATTTCAGATTTTCGATATCTAGTGACGCAGTCTCAGGTAGTAACTTCATAATGAATTGGCCAGACTGTGATTTTAATTGAATCACTAGATTGTCCCAATGTGAAACCGATGCTTTATTTCGACAACCATTATTCAAACTCCTGCCAATGTTGCAGTGACATTAAAATTTTGTAACCAGTTGATATTCATTTTGTTTTCGAATACGTAAAAGACCCTATTGTGCTGAGAATCATGTGTAAAACTCAGGTCTAGATATCAACTTAACTTATCTGCCCTATATATAGATGAAATATTACAGTGTGGATACTTCAACTGGAATAAAGTCGCTAGCTAGAATAATATTTTTTTGACAATTCCCTGAGATATAATATAATACGTCAACGATTCAATGTATTCATCTTCATTCTGCAAGCGATATCTAGAATATATGTATACCTACTTGTAAGGATAGCTGATACCACCCTCAACATGTTTTTTCAATCGTTGATCAGTATATGCGTATACAGGGTGGAGACTTCGACTGGAATAAATTCGCTAGCACGAGACATTTGAGTATATTCACCTACATTTTGCAAGCATTATGAAGAATATAATCCTTCATGGGTAGCTGAAATCAGCCTCAACATGTAAAATCGAATTGAGAGTTGAAAGAATTCGACCATGATTCTGGAGTAGGAGTCATATATTCATTTCGCCAGTGAAAATATTCCCTCGAAAGAAGCGCCACCTATTATCTTCTTATTCGGCATGTAGTATAGTTCGTCTTCTACCCGTAACACTCCCAATGTTCCCTTCCGTATACGTCCCAATTGAAAGTATGAGACGTGAGTAAACAAAAAAATATTGATAATATCATCGATATCGATAATATTGATGGATATCGATAATATCGGTAAAATCGAGAATATATTGATAAGTTGTGATTATCGCTAATCGATAGTCCAAAATCACCATCACCCACCCCGACTCCCTTGTCATCCTGAAAAGGACCAGAGCTTAGATTTTTCATGATGAAAAATAAATGAAACTTAGCAGCATATAACAAAATTTTACCCTAAGAGAACTCTAAGAACACATCAAATGAGCGAACAAAACAAATTTCATAGCGAATATCACTCTCCTTCCAATAATTTATCACCAAAATTCAACGAGTTTCTCGTTTTCCTGTCTGTCTAATGTCGAATTTTTTTCGCGAGATCGATATGTTTGTTATAAGGCTCTGGCGAATGATACACTCCACAACCCATGAATCCTCGCTACAAGTTTTCTTCAGAAATGGGACACACTTGTCCTAAGTCAACCGGCTTTTCCAAGTCACCCCGTTTTTGACAGTACTGCGAACTGAATTTTGGTCAGTATGCTGGATTTTTGTTTCAACCAGCTTCTCATTGAGGAGTCACGATTGAATTTTTACAAATACATCTTCTACGACTACACTTCAGGATAGTACACGTGAAGTGTTGAGTCAGTTCGAGCTAACTGCGTGAAAAAGGTACAAATTACTATTCTTTCATTTGTTTCTCGGTGAATTGCATAACTATATAGCCATTTCCCTAATTTTTTCATCTAATTTTTCCATATTCACTGTGCAGTTTTGGAAACTGATAGAATGTTATCCGAAAATGACATGATATTTATTCCTGATAGTTTAGTTTCCATTCATGGAGTGTAAAAATATCTCATCTTCATCGCTGGACATTTTTCAAATCAAATTGAGAAATTTCAACTGACCATCATCATTTTTAGAAAATATTACTTGCCTGCTTTCGATTTGGATTGATATCCTGATGAAAATATAAGTACCTCCCACTATACTGACATTGAAATTGGCACTTCGCGCCTAAGCAACAAAAAAAATTCATATCTACCAAAACATACCTAGGAAAACTGGGGGATCACTCGCTTTACGCACACGTGCGTGAGGAGAAGGTTACTGACATTGTTTTGTATTCAATAATCGTCACCTATGATAGTAGACGTGGGAAAATCCATTTAAACGTTTGCTTGTCTCGTGAATTTTCAGAACAATCATTCACCTCCCCGCTATAACGAATCTATTCCATTTAGTGTCTCCACCCTGTATGTATCTTCGTAGGTTTGATGGCAACCAATTATGGAAATTTCATATCATCCAGTCTCCTTTATACATGAAAGACTGATCCGCCAATTTTCCCCGCATGTTGATACAAATCACGTTGTACGAGTCTTCCCTACGTTCCGTGCGATCCCTCATGTGTATCAAGACAGCATTGTCGAACAATATCATTATAGGATCCCCTTTGTTTCTTTAGCAGAAACATATACCCACCTGTTCTCTCACCATTCGGGATCGTATTGTTCGCAGGGATTCACAGTGGCGTTGTTCTATTGTTTCCTGAACACCGAGGTACAAAACGCCGTCCGACACCATTTCAACAACTGGAAGACGAGAAGATCTTTGGGTCCCAGTAGGCTGAGAGCAGGCAGCAGAAGCAGAGATTGGTCGCCACGGTCTAGGACTGAAAGCATACGGTAGGTGATAACAATAGAAAATGTGATTCATTCATGAATCACGATCCAACATTCCTAAATGCCAATAAACAAGGATGAATGCTGGATGAATGAATGAAATGGCAAATAATCATTGCCAGAAAATGAGTGCTAGAATTTTCATTCTCACCAGTTAGCATTAGTAAAACGTGATATCAATGTCAAAGTGGAAAATACCAAAATTAGGCAGGATAGCCCTGAAGGCTGTGGTCTGTTTTTTTTCGAAAATATTCGTAAAAAAATATGTAGAATAATTGAACAAAAAGACAACCGGAAGTTATATAAACTTTTGAGCAGACTTACATTTTTTACTCCCGATGTGGAACTTTACGACCAATTGTTATACATTGACGGCGAAGAAGATATAGTTGGAAGAGGCCAAATGACACGAGAAAAGAATAGTATATCGTACAACTAATGCGGAAAATTAGTTATTTCATATGAGTTCGTGACAAGATGATTAACCACGCGTATAAAATAACCATTTTCCGTACAAGTTTCACACTATACTTTTCCGACGACCTACCTGATTAACAGATATCTTTCATCCGGAGCAGTATCTATAAATTGCTCACATTTTTGGGGTTCGAAGTATTTGATTCATTAAGTTCATACCCGAATGATCGTCTTTTCAGTACATCTTTCAATTTGAGGTAATTCCCAATGTTCGCATTATGTTTAGCGATTAATGATGCTCCTATCATAGAATAAATTGACCAGGAAGTATTTGACTTGATTCTTACTTCCCTATACTGAAAAAAATAGTTGGTAGTAAATACCAAACTTTTAGTGAAATAGGCGGCAGTCACTACATTCATCTAATAATACCACTAGAAAAACTGTATAATACTAAACTATATCAAATATCACCACTACAAAATAGTACAATACTTATAGTATGGTATGGTACAATTTTTTTGTGGTAGTATTTGATGAATGTTGTGACTGGCGCCTATTTTACTTAAGGTTTGGTATTCACTACCGACTATTGTCTGTGTATTCTCCAATGTAGGCCAATGAAGCTACTTCGGAGAATCTTTTTGCACTGTTTTTTTCTTTCAATGCAATGAAATTATTATTCGCCAAATTATACTACTGTTTTGACTTTTCTGGAAGCAATATTTTTGTCGTTTTCATTGATAATTCCTGGATTCCTGATGGGAAAGAATCTAGCATTTCATCGTCGGATGAAAATTCCATGTTTTATTATCCGGAATCAAGAAAACTTTTCCCAACAAATAAGTAGATATTCACCTGATAAATGATATCTAATTGAATTAAATTCAAACTAGGTACTATAACAATGTGTGGAAACTGACACTGTCATCAACTTTGTCATAGCATATTGTCATACCTGATGCCTATATATATTCAACAGTAATTACACAAGTGGTGGTAATTTTTTGATAATTTTAACTAGATGCACGAATCTTTGTTGCTATAGAAATTTCACGAGTGGACGAAGTCCACGAGTGGGATTTCTCAATAGCAACAAAGACGAGTGCTAAATCTAGTTAAAATTATTTAAAAAAATAACCAACACGAATGTAATTCGGCGTGATTATTTTTTTTACTATTTCGCAAAATGCCCCAGAATATGTTTATTAAACAATTATTTATTGAACAATCATTTATCATACAATTATATATCAAACAATTATATATCAAACAATTATATATCAAACAATTATATATCAAATAATTATATATCAAACAATCAAGAATGTTTACAATTTACGTTTGTAATGGTGCAATTATTGTATGTTATTGTACAATTTCCTTGAGATGAAGAGGTCGAAACAGTGTTTCCTCTCAAGTTGTTTATCATGCTTGCGTGATGCTCTTTGTCAAGTTGAAGATAGGGTTTGATGGAGCTTGCAGATGAATGTCCAGTTATCTTCAACAACTGCTGCTCACTTACTCCACTTTTAGCGAGTTGTGTCACAGCAGAAGAACGATGTGAATGGTTTGTAACCTTGATTTTGCTAGGATCCAAGCCAATCTTTCGGGCCGCTTGTTTTGTCCATTTTGCTATTTCATTTTGTCCTACCGGAAGATTTTTGTACCACCCCTTAGACAAAGGTTGCTGCCAATTTGGATTAGGTGTTAAAAATAAACGATCAATTTGAATATTTGCACTTCTTTTCGACATTAACTTCCGAAAGAGACGTACTGGACATTTTTCAGTCTCATTTTCATTTGGCGTTAAAAATTTGCTATCAGATAACCTGTGCGATCCTCCTTGTGCTGTTTTAGAAATTATTGGATTATATTCTATCCTTCCAGTTTGATTTCCATAATGATCCATTTCTTCTCTAAAATACTGTACTAATGCTTTTGTCGCTTCTCCGCCTCTCCAAGCCAATTCGTAGCTAGCAGTATGATAAAACTTCCTTTGTAAGCCATTTGGAGTATTTTCGTCCCATGCTGCTATCATTTTTTCTATTTCTTCTTTCTTGAGAGCAACAGAAGATGCTTTTCTTTTTTCAGGAATATGTTGAAGTTCTCGACGTTTGCAATTCCGCGCATCTCGCGCGGTCTTAAATTCAATATCAGTGAACGGATCAATGTTTCTATTATACTCCCTGAAATATTTTTCCTGGATAAGTTTTGCGGTGACATTCCACAAAGTTTTGACAACAGATTCTTTGTAGTTTTCTCCATTTTTTTTTCGCATGTTATATGCCCAGTCCTCCATAATTGATGCGATTTGTTTCATCTCGGTTGTTGCAGTCAACTCATAATTACGTTCAAGGCAGAACTCCAAAAACTGTTTCCATATCGTATTCTTGCTTTTTGTGGTGTTGATTGGTGTTGCTTGTTCGACAGCTAAATGTATTGAATCAGCCGAGCTTTGACCAAATCTCGTGCTCATGTCGGTTTCTGTTAATGACTAATAATAATTGTAAAGTTTTTCCGAACCTATACCAACTCGTTTAAACGTTAGAGAAAATCACAAAATACGAAGTCTGACTGATACTTAACAATGGCGTCGGTTCTGAATTCGAAATGTTTACATTGAGACAAATAGCTGCGTTACCTTGACAACCAAGTCAAGTCAATGCTAATTCTCTAAAGGTGCCCCATAGACTGCGTTGTTGGTAGGCCGTTTTGTTCGTCGAACAAGTCTGTTCGAACAAAAAAGACACAAAACTAAAGTGTGTGGCCAGCGAAAACGAACATTTTACAGCCACACACTTCGGTTGTGCGCAATTTTTGTTCGAACAGACTTGTTAGTCGAACAAAACAGCCTATCAACATCGCAGTCTATGGGTCCCTTTTTGTATCCATTTGAAGGAAGATCCAAACGTGAATAAGTCATCGCGGTAATTTGATACTAACAAATTATCAGTATGATTCCGAATGATTGGCTAGAATCACGCATTGATATTGGTTGAAACAAGGAAAACGTCACATTTTGACATGTAAAAAAAATAATCAGTATACAAATTAGAGTAGCTGTATTGGGCATTCAATATAGGATTTGTGCTTTGGCGAACATTCTCATTTCACACTAGTGCAAAATGAGAAATACGTATCATGTCGTGCTCTGATTCGACAACCATCACTTTCACTTCACTCAGTCTCATGATCTCGCAAAAGAACTGTGTAAATAATTCTCAATAAAAATCAAACATCATCACATCCTTCCAGAGTTCGAAAATAGATGTGTTCCCAATTACATCCAAGGATGTGTTTTGTCATTCAATGACATCAACGAGAAGGTGAAGAATTGATTCGTTATAGACGATCAAGGGGTATGGTTGCGATAACTCCCTTGCTTTTTTTCTCCTAAATGACCTTCCTGCCTCCAAGTCTGATAAAATGAGAATGAGCTCAAACTAGGAAGTACAAAAAACCTGGAACCAGCACTGAATATTAGATAACTCTTCAAGAATCGGATATTGAAGCCAAAATAACATGCCAAATATAATTCAGTTAATCGAATTACCCACAAAATTGGCATCGAACTTTAAGCTGCTGAGATAAGGAAGAATTAAAGGTCGGTGAAATTCCACTAGGAAATTGCCAAATAAAATTTTATTCCCAGTAGTCAAATACTATCTCGAAACCCTTATTTTTTGCCACTATAAAGGCCAATAGGTGACTAACGGATTCCAAATTGCAGAGTTCCATTATGATGATGTGACATAATGACTATAATGTCAGAAGTAGTGGAGATCATCCTTTACAATAGAACACGTGTATTTGATTGATCGAACCGAACCGATCGAATTGTTTCACTGCAACACGTACTCTACATAATTCTAAATATCCCTGTATTTACGATATTGTGATGTAAGATGGAAATCATTTGGTAGATTATATCATTATATCTACGTAGGCATTTTAATGCATCTGACAGTCTCGAAGGAGACGGAGAAGAAAGGCAAACAAGAAGAATAATAATTTCTCGGGAATTAAAATGAAAAATCTAGTCTGAACCACGGTTCTGAATCCGCTGGAAGCGAGAATTCATAAAATATTGAAAATACAAAGGAAAACCCTATAAGAAATATTACCTGTCCATAAGCTTCTCCACTTGGACTTAGAAACCCTGCAGAGATTTTGCAACTCAATACAATATACCCGTGTATTGGTTATTTGGGAGATTGATTGACATACCTTTACGAATGTCATTTGATTTCAATTACTCCAACATCGCTGTTGATACAAATCCATTCATTCTATTGATGTATTTTTGGTGCCTTATCGTCTGTTTGACATCATTAATTTTTTATAACTAACATAAAATATGCCGAGTATTTAGATACATTGGAATTATGATTCGGTGAATTGATTTAAAAATTCAATTCAAGATTATCATCGAATATTTGACAAATTAGAAATACATGATTATGACACATATCAGAATTGAATTTTTGATTCTGAAATGCTTTCGATAGAGTATTGGACTAGAATGACTAATAATTTGAACAATGAAACATTCACCTTATACCTCTTGAACTAAACTCAAAAAT